GATAAAATACATTCATCTCAATATATTGCAGAATTCTGTGCTTAGTCTTAGGCATGGGAAAATCCTAGATAACCCTGAATTTTTGCTTCTCTAAGCACATCTTGGCTTTAGCCCACAGTGTGGCCCAAATACATCACTTTTGCTTTGGTATATTTATTCTTAACCAAATTTATGAACACATTGGCTCTCTGTAACCAGTTTGTTCAAGTGGTGAAAATCTTCTTTTCCGGTGTGGCTGAACATATCCAAATCATTTATATGAACAACATAGTTGCAAAATCCTTCAATAACTTTGTTGGTTAATTATTGAAATGTTGCGTGTGCATTTTTCATTCCAAACAGCATTACATTATATTGATGAAGTCCATCCAGTATAACAGAATCAGATATTTCTTTGGCTGTGTCTGTCAAAAGAACTTGGTCTTGTACGAAGTCAACTTTTGTAACAAATCATGCTTGTCCAATTCTGCCAATGCAGTTCTACAATCAAGGAATTGGATATAGACCTCCCTTTGTTACTACGTTGACTTCATGATCCATCTTGTTTCAGCATCATCGCAATAGATGAGCAGAAGTTACTATGATTCTGTTTAAAAATATAATTGTCCATCATAAAGTTAATCTCTTTCCAAACTTGAACTAACTTTTCTGAGTTGAGTTTGTAAGCATTTTGTTAAAGGGTTACCATCCACTTCAATAATAGCATGTACAGCCAAAGATGTTTTCTGATCTATTTACACAAGTCAATTTATGATCTCTGAAAGAGATACAATAAGATACTTTGACAATTTGCTGAGAGATAGAATAATATTCCATCTAACTTTTTAAATATTTCTGTATTATGGATAGTCTATTTCCAAATATTCAGTTGTTATTTCATTCTTGGATCATTCTGATATTTTTATTTCACTTTCTATTTCTTTTGCCATGTGAAGTGCACTTCTTTTCTGATTATCCTCCCTAATAACATCACTTTAATGTATTAACTTGACATAAACACATGCTCCAGTCTTCAGGACTTACTGTATATTACGCAGTGCTTTTAATTTGATAAGTTCCAGTGAACCTCACAATTAATGGCTCCCCAGAATCAAGTAACAATACTGACCCTTTGTCTCTTGCAAGAAAACTGAGCTCTGGGCTTTGTATTTGCTCTAATTTTCATTGTTAAATGCTTTCTAAATACATTTTTACCAACTCACATGCTTTGTTTGATTTCTCTTGCCTACCTAACACAGTGAAGTATACTCTCCGGGCATTACTTTCTCATATCCACACATCAGCTAAAAGGACTGAATGCTGCAGATAATGAGGATCATCCCTAATGCTAGACAGTAACAAGGAAATTGCTTTATTTCAAAGATTAGAATATTCCTGACAATAAAGAGATTGATGCTATCTTTCTAGCTCTCCTTGACATTCTGGATTATAAAGTGTAGATATAAATCAGTTTATTCCAAAACTTTTGCTTGAACATGTGGGATGTAAAATTTGAGACTTGATCCCATAGTATTTCTTTGGGTAACCCATCTCCTGTGAGGAAAAAAAAGCATCTAATTTTTTGACTGTGGTTTTGCCATAAATTTTCCCAAAGGCACTGCCTCAGGAAGTCTTGTTGAAATATCCATAATTGTTAAAAGAAACTGATTTCCACTCATCGCTTTAGGCAGATGTCCAACACAATTAATTAAGAACCAGCGAAATGGTTATTCACTAACTGCTCATGGAACTAAAGGTACAGGTTTAACTGATGGGTGGCGTACTCCCCCCTACCTGACATGTCATACATGTCTGGCAAAAGTTCACCACACATTTATTTAACCCTGACCAAAATGTTTTACTATTTTATTCTTTGTTTTCTTAAAAGTAACGTGATCTGCCATTGGAAGGGTGTGAGCTAATCAGAAGGATGTTAGATCGTCAGATGGTACTACTACGTAACTGACTATTGCCTATTCTTCATTTGGTAACATACCATGTATCTAGCACAAATTAAAGGAGGCACTGTAAGACTTCTCTCTTGGAAATGAGGTGGGTCAAAAGATCAAGTGACAGTGATCATCGGGTCATAAATGGGTGGTGATGGAAAAATGAACATAGAATATTCTTACTCTGGATTATTCAAAGAGTGGACAGCTGACATCAATGGGTCAGGAATGGAATGGGGGCATGACAGACTGGAACCAATAGTTAATGGGAAAACAGTAGCTGAATAATGGCCTACTTTCAAGGAAGTGATAGTTTGGGTTTAGTCAAGGTATATTCCATCAAAAGGAAAAACTGAGATAAAAAGATAAACAGAGCCCTTTAGATATCAAAAGGAGATACAAACTAAATTAAAGAAAAAAAAAAAAGTGTGTTTATGGCATTTCTTGAGTGATAAGTACAAAAGAGAACCGGGAGAAGGCTCAGAAGTGAGGTGAGAAAGGAAGTAAAGGATGCAAAGAGAGAATATGGGAAAAAAAAAACCATGGCAGTCAAGATAAGAAGGGAAATCACAAATGTTCATATCAGAACATTAATAGTCAAAAGTGTTAAAATGAGAAATAGGAGATGTACACACATGGCAAGAGGCATGGCTGAGATATTAAATGAATACATGCATTTTCTAGATAAAGACAAATATTACCAAGGCCACAATGACAAAGGACAGAACTCTGTCAAGTGAGGTTTTTTAAAATTGATAAGGACATGGTATTGGATAATCTATTAGGACTTAAAGTTGACAAGGTATCAGGAATGGATGATATATATCCAAGGATATTGAAGGATGCGAGAGCAAAATTGCAAACGCAGTGACAACAAACTTCAACCTAGGCTGATGGTAGAGGACTGGAGAATTGCAAACATTATAACTATTTTTGAACAAGGGATAAAGTTAAGCCCAGTTAATTACAGACTAGTCAGTTTAACTTCAGTCAGGAAGCTTCTAGAAACAATTATTCAGGATTAAGTTAATGGTCACATGGAAAAATGTGGGTCAATTCAAGAGAATTAGAAAGGATTTATTAAAAACCAAATTGTCTAACTAACTCAGAACAATTAAAGAGGTTTAATGAAGGGAAGGCTGCTAATGTTGTATATGTAGACTTCCAAAAGATTCAGAGTATTGAAAACTCAGAGTACGGTAGCTTAGAACTTGAAAAACACTTTGACAATTTGGTGAAATGGGTGAATAGATGGTAGATGAAGTTCGATGTGGGGAAGTGTGCATTAGGGTCTAGGCCCGAAACGTCAGCCTTCCTGCTCCTCTGATGCTGCTTGGCCTGCTGTGTTCATCCAGCTCTACACCTTGTTACCTAAGTGTGCATTGATACATTTTTTGGTGGGAAGGAACATGCAAGAGTGTGTAAAATAAAATAGATACTACTCAAAAAAGGTTACACAGGAACAAACAGGAGTTTAAATTGGATAAATGTGAGGTTTGCATTTTGGTAAAACAAACATGGGCAGGACTTGTACAAGTAAAAGTAGGGCCTTGGGTTGTGCTGTAGAACAGAGAGACCTAGGGTTTCATATAATTGTTCTTTGAAGTTTGCATCACCTGTAGACAGGGTGGTTAAAAAGGTATTTAGCATGTTTGCCTTCATTGTTGAGACCTTGGAGAATGAGAGTTGGGACGCAATGCCGAGGTTGTACAAGATGTTGGTGAAGCCTCTCCTGGGGTACTGTGTCTAGTTCCGGTCACCCTTTTAGAGGAAGGATATTATTAAGCTAGTGAGGATTCAGGCAAGATTTACCAGGACATTGCCAATAATAGATGATTTGAGTTATAAAGGAGAGGCTAGATAGCTTAGAACTTTTTTTCAATTGAGTGTAGAGGTTGAGGGGTGACCTTATAGAGGTTTAAGGTCATGAAAGGTATAGATAAGGTGAACGACGGGTGTCTTTTCCCAAGGGTTAGGGATTTCAAGACTGGGGATATATTTTCAAAGGTTGGGGGGTGAGGGGTAAGATTTAAAAACAGGGGCAACTTTGTTTAAAAAAATAGAGTGGTTCATACATGGAATGAATTTTCAGAGGAAGTGATGGATGTAGGTACAGTTACAAAATTTGAGACATTTATATATTGTACTTGAATAAGAAATGTTTGGAGAGATATTGGCCAAGTGCATGCAGGTGTGACTAGTTTAATTTGGGATTATGGCCAGCAGAGAGTGGTTGGAACTGAAGAGTCTTTTTCCACATTGTATGACTATGACAGACCTGGGTGCATAAATTGTTCAAGGTGATAGGTCAGGTTAAAAAAAAAAGCAGATTCTTTGAAGCTTCACTAATAGGGATGGAGAGTTCAAAATTAGGGAGGCTATGCTCAATTGTATAGAACATTGGTTAGACCTCAGACAGAGTACCATAGAGTTGTGGGTGCTACACTACAGGAAGGTTGTGAATGCATTGGAGAAAAATGCAGAAGTATATTAGAATTGTTGCAAGATTGAGCAATGTTAGTTATGAGGATAAATTGGAAAAGTTGGAATTGTTTTCTACGGAGAGAAATTGGAAGGGTGGAATTGTTCTTACTTGTAAAAGGATTGAAAAATGAGAAGGCACACCGTAAAGTAATATCAAAAATCAGCAAATGCAAAGTGAGGACAAATTTTACACAACAAATAGTTGGATCTGGAATACATTACCTGGAGATGTGTGGAGGTAGGTTCAATCACAACAGTGAAGAAGCCATCATTTCTATTTAAATAACTTCCAATGTGTATGCTTACAAAGGCCAGCAGGCGACTGGCACCAAGTCAAAATGTTCAGAACTAGTACAGACATGATAGGACAATGGCTTCTGCCTGCGCTGCACCAGTTTGCATTCTGAGATCATTAATGACACCAACTGTGTTAAGTCAGCATGATAAAAGTGCATGATTTACCTGCTGTGCATACCCCTGCAACCAGTACAGAACAAATTCACCAAGATTTTGTTGAATGCAGGCTGTGACAGACATGCATATTTGTGACTAAAATGGCATAAAAATGCTAACAAATGAATAACGCAGCAATAATTTTCTTATACATGATCTGAACAAAACTATTTTGACATAAGCTTTGAAATATTCAATGTTTCAGAGCATTTATTCCAAAAGCGTTCAACATTTAGAAGTCAAACTTAAATATACATCAATAAGTTTGGAGCTATATTTTCAACAACAGTTTATAAAGAAGTCAACCTGAGGCCATAAGAGATACAGAGCAAGACAAAAATACCAATGCAAGCAAAAAGCCACACAGAAAAGTAAAGCAAAAACAGGTTTCAATGCAGTTTAATGATAAGTATTCACGATGAGTTTAGAAAAGATTGCAATTACTGCAAACCTACGAATAGAATGCTCAGTTATCAATTAACGTGTCTGGTAAATTCATTGCAGAAAGCACAGAAGCACTTCTAACAGACTCTCAGAAAAAAAAAAGAGATAACATGGCAGCTGGTGATTTGTTGCAATAAAATGCAATAGATTGATAAGGATTCTCATTTAAAATCTTGGGGTCTTGCAATATTTATATTCATTCAAAAAAATAGGAATGGTTCAGTGCTAACTCCAATTTGTATGCATTAAATAGCCCTCTACAGGCAAGACGATGAATGTTAAATCTAAAGAAATACCCAACAGAAATACCAGAGCTGTGACATTTATCTTTCACAGTAAATGAAAGTAACACCCTTTACATTAATTGTTGTTTTGCTGTAATCATTTATAGTTACGAGCAAAAACTAAGATTAATGGTAACAACAAAAATGGGCTCCTCATTTACCCCATAACCACTGCTTCAGTATGCTGACAAGAATAGTATCTGGCCTACTAATCTTTTTAAAGAACACAGAGTATTTTTAACATATTGTACATTTGCAGAGACAAATACACACAACATAACATTGCTCTGAACAAAATCAACATGAAAGCAATAAGTAATATACAAATGTTGCTAATGAAAAATCAAAAAACTTTATTCAGCTTTGAACAATTTACACAAGATGCAACTAAACTTTCAAGATGAGAATATAATATTTCACTCAGATTCGATTACGACTATATGAGCTACTTGTTAAAAAGTATCCATGAGCTACTTTTATCAAAAGCTTCCAATGCTACATTTGTGTGCCAAAACAATTTCAGCCAGAGCATTTGTGCACTAGCTTTAACTCTGCTTCTGTCAGTGCATAACTATAAGCTCATGCCAATTGAAGCTTGAACTTCTCAAGTGCAGAAACTTCCTCAAATGGCTAGGAACAATCTGTACAGATGAACAACAGTGATCTGCACAGAAAGTACCAAGTGACTTTAGTTAACAGTTCATACACAATCTCTCACCTGTCTGCTCAGAAGGACGCAGGTTCCCAACTGCTGTGTTTCAATTATTTCTGAAACAAAACTATGAATTCTATAGGTATGGAGAAAATAAACCATTTGTGTCTTAGGAGGCAGCAGCAGCAGCATTTCATGTAAGCAGGAGTTTTCTAAATCAACTTGGTCAGAGATGGTATTACACACCTTTAGAACAGGTGGGACTTGAATCCAGGCAGCATGGATCAGAGAAAGGGGCCTACTACTGCAACGCAAGATCTTCAGATAGTCAACTTACTCTTCCTCAGGCAATTTGTTTCCACTGGATTGTTGATTTTGCTTTTTTTCTACTCAATCACTAACATTTAGTTCTTAATATCCTCAATGGTATTACGCGGAATAAACTGTTCAAGATTTTACTGGATTGTAATTAGACTGCCAATGTGATGTAATGCCATTGCGCTACAGCTGCGCCAGTTATGTGTAGTCAGAAGCCACTGGGGTGTTTGTTTCCTACACCATGGTGCTCAGCTGACCACCTCTTTTGTACACTTGTAACTGATGCAATTTAACTGAAGATTCACTATCATTTACTTTCTACCCCTTACTATTCAACAAGATAATGTTGTCTGTCTTCATTACAGTAAATTAAATGGTGTGATTAAATTAGAGGACTTGCCACCTTACAACATCTCACACTTCCTTCTTGTGCGCCCATACCCCTTGTGGAGAAAGGCCTCCCCAAAATGACAAATTTGAACAAACTCGGTGTTGTATCCTGGACCATAAATGTATTCCAGAGAATTATGCTCATACTCAGGTTTGTGACCCCGAACAAATAGTGAATGAAATTGTGGTCAATATGACAAAAATCCAGGTTTCACCTGGAAATACAAACATACTTGCAAAGTTCACACTGTATCAAATGGTCCTACCCATTCATACGCAGAAATGAACACCAGCAAACTACGTGTTTAACCTTCACTCAAAACAGTATATCCATTAAGTGCTTATGGGGCTAAGTTTTGGTAATGACACACATCCCTCAATTTTGGAATTTCTGTGAATTTCTTTTCAATATTTTGTTCCTATGATTTCGCTGTAAACAATAACTAATAGCCTCTTCCGTAGCCTGAATTCGGTGCAGAAACCTGATCCGGTCAAGAGCTATTTGCATCCAGTGGCCCTTGCGAGCTTCCCTTGATGCAAAGGACCATGTTACCATTTTGTGAACTTCAACAAGAGGAGAAAATCGGACCTGAAAAAGAAAAACGAAATAAAAAGTAAATTCTCTAAAGGAGGGAAATCCTATGTGATTTTCAGAAACTTGCTCATCTAATGGTTTCAAATCCAACAGGCAATGTACGTACAAATTCCTAATGTCTAGATAAAACAGGGTCCGGTATAAATGCATTGCTACTAATTTGTACAAATACGTCACACTGTAAGCCCAACTGATGAGTTTAAATTGGTGTCTGCTTACAGTTCAGCTTATTTACTAAATGATTTCCAGTAGTAGAATAACATCTAATGGTGCAAATATTGTTCTGTGGTTTGCAAGCCTGGTTGAACACAATGAGCATGGAGACCACATTGTAAATGATGAACACAGTAATTTTTACAAAGTAGGTGTTCCACAAAGTGGTCAATCAGGAGACCGGTGTATTCGCATTCACATAATGGTCTCCTCTACACTGGAGAAACAAAATACAGACTGGGTAACTGTTATGTGGAATACCTATTTTCTGTCCTTATAAATGATTCAGCTTTCAGTGACTGTTAGTTAGCACACCACCATGTTCCCATACAAATATTTCTGTCTTATGCCTGCTGCAGGGCTCCAACAAGGCTCAGTGTAAGCTGGAGGAATAGAATCTCATCTTCCATTTGGTGGCCTTTAGAGCTTAAATACCTACCTCCATATCTTTTATCCACTTCCTCTATACTTCAGATCCTGTCATGATATGTATTGCTTTCAGCACAGCCAGCCCGTTCACCCATTCAGTCCCATTATCACCTAAACTATCTTCTTCCTGGTTTACAGAGATCCCTTTGTCTACCTTTTTCCTTTCTCACTCTGGGCTCAGTCTCCACCTATCCATTCACTTGTAAACCCCCACCTCATGCTTATCATCTGCATAAATACCTCTTTTTCCATAATAAGTTCTGAAAAAGGATCACTGAGCTCAAAGCATTAACGCTTTTCTTTCTTCAAATGCTGCTGGAGAAACTCAGCAAGTCTGGCAATTTGTTTTTTTGTTTCACATTTAAAAAACTTGATTAAATTTTCAATTGTGATAACATGGACTTTCAAAAAGCTTTTGCTAAAGTGCCACTTAGTAGGCTTCTTAGAAAAGTCAAAATACATGGAACAAAAAGAGACAGTAGCAGCCTGGATAGGAATGACAAAAAGAAAGGTAAACTGTAACTGCAGAGATCAGCTGCTGTTCTTCTTGATCTATGAGAAAGTGTGCAGAGCACTATTTCAGAAATTGCAGATGAAAAAAATCTTTAAATATTGTGAATATTGAAGATAATGTTAAGTTTTCAAGATAACAGTGACAGGCAGATGGAATATTTGGATATGGTATCAATGAAAGATAATGTGGAGAAATGCAAAGTGATACATTTTGAGAGGAGGGATCACAGGAGTCAATATAAAATAAGAGGTTCAAATCTAAGAGGAGGAAAGAGCAGTCAGATGTAGGGATTTTTGTGCACAAGTTTTTTAAAAAGGGTGGTTGATAAAGTGATTACTAAAGCATGCAATCCTGGGATTCATGAATAGTTGCACAAGGTGTTAAAACTAAGAGATTATGATGAATCCCAATAAAACACTGATTTGACCTCAACTGGAGTCTAAATCGGAGTTCCAAAGTGTTGGAAGGATATAAAAAAGGTGTTGGTGAGTGTACAGAAATATTTTACAAGAATAATGTCAGAATTAGAAGGTTAGATGACACATAGCTGAGGCTGTTCTCCTGAAAGAAGAGAAGATGGCGTTTTCCTAGAGATGTTCAAAATTTTGAGTTTAGAGCAATAGATGGGGATTATCTGTTTCTCTTAGAAGTGTCAAGAACCAGAAGATACCAATATAGAAGAATGAAGAAGTAGCAAAGGTAACACAAGGAAACCATTTTACGCAGGAGATGGTCAGGATGTGGAATGCACTACTACAGTGTATAGTCAAGATATATTTAAAGAGAAAACTGGACAGCTATCTGAAGATAAGAGACTAGTAGGGCTACAGAAGAAGCAACAGAGTAGAACTACCTGAGTTGCTCTTGCAGCAAGCAGGCATAGAAAAGACAGGCTGAATGGTTACAGCAGAGAAATAGGCCATTCTATGCTTATTGGACAATGAACACAAAGCATTTAAGTGAAGATGAAATGAGAGATAGGCTTCAGCAAGATACTCCTTCCGTAATACTGTCTTGACTCTCTCCAGGTTTACAGAGAAAGTGGTCACAAAACTTAGTTCTGCAGAACAAAGTAGCTGGACAAAAGACGATTTCTTCTTCTTTTGAGAAAAGCTTAAAATTAGAAAATACTGCAAGAATTGGAAAGTTTAAACTAGCAGGGAAAAAACAGGAATATTCAGCAAGATGAGCAGTATCTAAATATTTCAAGCCAATGGACTTCCAACTGAATGGGAGACAGAGATAAACACTTAAGGCAATTACAAAATCAGATAAAAGTGGGGAGGTAAAAGGGTTTTTATCTCCTTTATTCTTTCATGGGATGTGGGCATCACTGGCAAGGACAGTACTTACTGCCTCTCCCTCATTCTCCCTAAATTGAGTAGCTCATTAGACCATTTCACAGGGTACTCAAGAGTTAAATCACATTGCCAGGTACTTGAAGTCACATGCAGGCCAGGCCAGACAAGGGTGGCAGATTTCTTGCGCTAAGAAAACATGGGTGAACCACGTGGATTTTTTAGAATAATTAATAATAATAATGATTACCGTGAAATGGAGACCAATTGTAAAATTTTATTAATGGAATTTAAATTCCAGTAACTGCCATTCTTGCATTTGAAACACGTGTCCCTAAAGCACTATGCCTCTCGATTACAAGTCCAGTGACATGAGCACGACAGGAGCTATAAGTGAGTAAATGGCCAAAGCGAACCTGATGGGAGGTAAGTGAGATAATAAAATACCAGCAACATGAAACCTTAAACTATTTCCTCGTCCATGGATGCTGCCCAATTTAATATTCACAGTATTTTCAGTTTGTATATTCCTTTGTATGAAAGTTAGAAGGTGAATGTCATTGCAGCAGATAAGCAAACTGATCAAGAGATAGGCATTATTGTGATGGCCTACCTTCTTAACAGATGTTTTTTCCACTTTGTTGTCCTCTCTTTCAGCTTTTACAGATTTTGCCGACACCTTTTTAGTACAAAATCTGATATCTTCTCCAGTGTCAGGTATGCAGGAGTGTCTGAAATGTATCTGTGGTAATACTGGTTTCTGTAAAGTCGACAACTTTACTTTGATTAAACTTTTTCTTCCACTCTCACATTCTCCCAAACCCTGTGTATTCAAATCCACACTTGCTTTCCTGTTTGTGAAAGAGCTCGTATGACAAGCTGTGAAGTTCAAAGGATTATAAGGGTCTGCACTGAAAGAACATTTCCAGGGCACATCATTCAGTTCCTGATCACTCTCATCACTAAGTGAATCATCACTGCTACACACTATTTCAGAATCTTCCTCCGAGTCCTCCCACTCTTCACTATCAGTAGAATTGTGATCTTCTCCATTAGTCATCATCTTGTTCCAGTCTGATGGAGATATTGAATGTTTTGGAATCATGCAATGACAGCTTAAGTGATTGATAGCTACACACCCGTTATAATGCTCAAAATGATTTTGGTTAGATCTGGTCAGATAATGCTGGCTGCAATTCCGCTCAGTACTTTGTGGCGAATTATCTTCTGTTGTAATTGAAGACTTGTAAGGTTCTTTGCTGTTAGTTTGGTTTTGGTTGAATTTGGTCAAGTTAAGCTGTGCAATAGTTAGATCTTCTTGCTGTTTCCACACAAACTCAAGACCACTTTTTTCACAAGTAGTATCCATTCTTCCAAACCAAGGGAAGATCAATAATTTTTTGCCAATTCCTCTAACATCTTCAAACTGACTGTTGCTTAATGGTGTATCTTTGATAAGCTGATTAAGCACTGCCCTGCACAACCGAAGAACTGTAAAATATCAAATTGAAGATCAGATTGACAGGAATGGCATAACATCCTCTGATGAAAAGAGGCATACTAAGTGTTGATTTGTATAAACATTAGGATGGGGTAAACCATGCAGCAAGGCTAAATGTAAAACACTTCAGTTTACTTTTAGGATGTTTTCAACAATACTGATTGGTATTGAAAATAAAATTCCATTTCTTTACTGGAAGGTGGTCTTTACAACAAGAACCAATTATGGAGCCACAACACTGGTATTCCCTCTACATGCATCTTACATTTGGGGTTGTAGCATAGAATTTTTTGAATGGCTGTTTTTCCAGCCTCCAATCCAATCTTCATACTTCTTTGCAAGAGAGACCAATCTGTTCTGGAATCCACATCATTTAAAAAAAAAGTGAAAAATCTTGAATGGGATATGGGAATCATTGGCAAGGCTAGTATTTGTGGCCTATTTACAGGTGGTCCTTAAATGGAATGGCTTACAAAGGTAGTTCAGAAGGCATTGCTGTGGTCTGGAGTCGCATGAAGGCTAGATCAGGTAAGGATGGCAAATTTCTTTCAGGAATACTACTTGCAGTTCTGGTCTCCCTGCTATAGGATGGATGTTGTGAAACTTGGAAGGGTTCAGAAAACCAGTTGAAAGTTGCCAGGTTTGGAGGATTTGTGCTATAGGGAAGAGGGTGAATAGGCTGGGGCTATTTTCCACGGAGCGTCAGAGGCTGAAGGATGAACTTATAGGGATTTACAAAATCATGAGGGGCATGAATGAGGTGAATAGCCAAGGTCTTTTCCCCAGGGTGGGGGAGTCCAAAACTACAGGGCATAGGTTTAAGGTGAGAGAGGAAAGATTTAAATGGAACCCAAGGGGCAATGTTTTCATGCAGAGGGTGGTGTGTGTATGGAATGAACTGCCAGAAGAAGAGGAGGAGCCTGGTACAATAACAACATTTGAAAGGCATCTGGATGGATATATGAAAAGGAAGGGTTGAGGGGGATATGGGTCAAATGCTGGCAAATGAGTTCAGATTAATTTAGGGTATCTGGTTGCCATGGACAAGTTGGACCGAAGGGTCCATTTCCATGCTGTACAACTCTTATGACTCTAAGTTTTGATAATTGATGATAGCTTCATAGTATCCATTACTAAGACTAGCTTTATATTCCAGATTTATTAACTGAACTTAACATTCCACAAGCTGACATAATGGGATTTGAACCCATCTCCAAACAGCATTAGTCTAGGCCCCTGAATTATTAGTTCAGTGACAGTTGGTTAGCTAGATGGCTTTTTAAATTTCAAATATATACTTTATTCACAAAAACATCTCTAAGTACATAAGGTTCTAAATCATACCTATATAGTCTTTGCAGAGAGAAAAAAAAAAGTTGGAATTTTGATATTTCTCAGAGCTTCTTTACAGTTGCAGAAACAAAAACAAAAATAAGCATTTCCTACTTAAGCACGTAACTATTTATGCTCATTAAGTGTTTAAGTGCTGTCCTGATTTGCCTTTCCAAAAAATGCAGCACCTCACATTTATCTAAATTAAACTCCATCTGCCACTCCTCAGCTCATTCGTCCATCCGATCAAGATCGCGTTGTTCCCTGAGATAAACTTCTTCACTGTCCATTATACCTTCAATTTTGGTGTAATGTGCAAACTTACTAACCATACCTTCTATGTTAACACCCAAATCATTTACATAAATGATGAAAAGCAGTGGACCCAGCACCAATCCTTGTGGCATATCACTGATCACAGGCCTCCAGTCTGAAAAGCAACCCTCCACCACCATCCTCTGCCTTCTACCTTCGAGCCAGTTCTGTATCTAAATAGCTAGTTCTCCCTGTATTCCATGTGATCTAATCTTGATAACTAGTCAACCATGAAGGAACCTTATCAAATACCTTACTGAACTCCATATAGATCACAGCCACTCCTCTGCTCTCAATCTTTTTTGTTCCTTCTTCAAAAAAAAATCAAGCAAGTTAGTGAGACATTATTTCCCATGCACAAAGCCATGTTGACTATCCCTAATCAGTCCTTGCATTTCCAAATACATATAAATCCTGTCCCTCAGAATTTCCTCCAACAACCTACCCGCCACTGATGTCAAGTTCACTGGTCTAGAGTTCCCTGGTTTTTTCCTTGCCACCTTTCTTAAATAGTGGCATCACATGTTAGCCAACTTCCAATCTTCCAACACTGCACCTGTGGCTATCGATGATGCAAGTATCTCAGCAAGGGGCCCGGAAATCACTCCCTAGCTTCACACAGAGTTCTAGGGTATACCTGATCAGGTCTCAGGGATTTATCCACCTTTAGGTGTTTTAAGCCGTCCAGCGCCTCCTCCTCTGTGATCAGGACATTTTTCAAGATTTCGCTAATTATATATCATCCATATTCTTCTCCACAGTAAACACTGATGCAAAATACTCGTTTAGTATCTACCCCAGCTCCTGTGGTTCCACACATTGGTGGCCTTGTTGATCTTTAAGAGGCCCTATTTTCTCCCGAGTTACCCTTTTGTCTTTAATGTATTTGTAGATTCCCTTTGGATTATCCTCAACACTGTTTGCCAAAACTATCTCATGTCCCCCTTTTGCCCTCCTGATTTCCCTCTTAAGGATACGCTTACTGCTTTTATACTCTTCTAGGGATTCTTTTGATCTCTGCTGTCTATACCTCACGTATGCTTCCTTCTTTTTCTTGACCAAAACCCCAAATTTCTCTAGTCGATGAGACTTCAGTTATCAATTTTTCAGTTGCTGTTTGAATACACCTGTTAATTCTATGTGGAGAACAAAAAATAAGTCCCTTTATTTATAATACGTATTTTGACATGAATAGCCAGTCAGTCATATAAAATATATTTGAGATGAAGTGATTCTACATCATCTCATGGACATTGCATTCAGTGCTGTTATCAAGATATGCAGAACAGTCAACTACACACTTGGATGATTTGTCATATTCCCCAAACATCCTGGAGTATTTACACATTCCTCCTCTCCTGCTGTTGTACAGGTTCTTAATCAACTAATGTTATGGTGAGGAGGTCGAATCCCTCTGATAATTAAAACCAAAACACCCACAGTAGCTCACCTCATCTCATAATCTGCTAAATGAAATGGGAAAAATGGTATAACTTGACTTCCACCTCCCAATCTGTTATAAAAGAGAGATTAAATGAAATCCTCACTTGCTCTACAATCAACAAGTAACAATTTATTTATCTAACTTTAACAGTGAACAAATTAACAAAACAACTAACAAACTCAACAATTCCCCCTTAACTCCTAATTAATCCCAAATAAAACAAAATTCCAATGGTATGCTGTTTCTATAAATACAAGCCCCACTTATATAAACCAAATTGATAAGAAAAATAAATTAAAACTTACATTCTCAAAAATACACAGTCAGGATGCATATTCCAGAACGTTGTATGCCTTTTCTGCTATTCTTCAGTCAGAAATTCTTTCTTCGTCAAATCCTTGTGTCAGAATATTAGCTAAGACTGCCATGGCATCTTTTAGATAGTGCTTAATCAGAGAACTTAAAGATTTCTGTGAGTGCCAGCATTTAACTCTTCCAATGGCAGTTTGTTCTCTCCCTGATTTTCAAAAAACCATCTTCTTATATACCCTTGATGACCTGTTAGTTTTCTTATAAAAAAAAGATTGGTCCTAGGTCATCAATGCCATTAATTTAAATTTAAGTGGGGTTTGGTATCTAGGACCTGGTTTAAATTAATTGACTGATATTCAAGCTGGTTGCGTTACCATCAAAAGAAGCCTGGGTTGCTAACCAGACAACCCACTGACACATTTGTTTCAATTTCAGACCTGTCTATGCATCTGCAGCTGCTTGCAGACTTGGTTTTAAATCTCCAAGCTTAGAAAAGCACATCACCTCTTAAAGGGACCACACACTCTCCTCCCCTACCATTTTTACAAACAAATTCTAACATTCTGCCTTCTAATTCACAAGTACTCTACTCAACTTCACAACACTATCATACATTAGTATGACAACACCAGTCCTCCACCTGTTTATGAAGACTGTGTTGACATGGGGACATGTCTGACAAGACAGAAAAGATCATAATATTCAAAAATTAATGGCATGATAACTTATCCAACATCTGTATGGATATGTTAGACAGCAAAATTGACTGGATAATGATTGTAAGCAGGTATCCAGACTTAGTTCAAGACTCTACTCATTCCCAACAACCACTTCTGTAACCCAAATGTGCTTAAGCCCAGAATGCCTTCACTCCCTCTGACAGTAAGAGTTCAACAGATTTCACAGAAAGAAACCAACTCGTTGTTTAAAACTCTGATTGAGAGTCAGTCAGATAAAGGGAACTCAAGGTGAAATGGTACATGATCTTTCGTTTTGTTCACATGCAAGTCTCAAGATTTTTGTGTTGTCTGTGTGGATAAAGGCACAGTCTATACACTGGATTCAACAATCCATGCCATCATGGTACAGAAATGGGTGGTGGAGCAGCAAAAACAAATGTATTAATGATATGTGACTGTATAATCAAGGGAATGGATGTTGTTCCATATCACTAGGAGGAGTTTCAAAGGCTGTTTTACTTGCTTGATGCCAAGGTGGAGGACATCTTGCTGCTGGAGAATAACTTGGAATTCAATGGATGACTGTAGGAGCTTTGATTTATATTGGAAGCAATGACATAGGTAGAATAAGACATAGGAGTGATGTAGGCCATTCAATGAGATCATAGCTGTTAACCCAGATGTCCACCATCCTGCCTTTTGCCATAGTCCTCCATTCCCTCACTAATTAACATTTGATCCAGGACCAAGCCACAAAAGTAAACAACTCCACAGATTCATTACCCTACACTGAAAAGTGCACTGTAAATTTCATGTTGAGAGTCAAGATTCTGGCAGGTTTAATTTCAATCGCTCCAAAGGTCTCTTCAAGCAAGTTAACCATTTATCTATAGGTGGCTGAAGACACCAAAACAGCGAACAGATGTCTCCTTTGTGATGCGGAATTGGAAATGAAACATTTGCAAGATGTTTCAAGATATTACAAGACATTAGTTCGTAGACTGAATGTTGAATTTAATACTACAAATATTTTATATCTTCCTCTTTACAAATAGTGACACAGGCTGTCAGACAGGATGCGGTACTACATAGACCCGAAACCATGCAGAAAGAAACCAAGGGAAATAGACAGAACGGAGTTTCCCTTTCACTGTGTAGGGGCACAAAATCAAGTAATTAGAAACCAAGAAAAAGGCATGAGTAATGGCACAAACAGCTTCAACTCTTTGTGCTCCCTTTCTTTACCAAAAGCAGACGTGTTGTCCGCTAATGTCCAAGAGCCAACAACATCGGGGAAAAAGTTAAGACGATTTTAAGGGAGTGTTGAGTCAATATTTTCCTTACTGTGCTGGCGTTTCGTGGTGTGAAAATTGTCATCAACCCTTGTGAGAGTGTGAAGGGGACCGAAGTGCGACGGCAGTATTACAGCCGTTACAACTTAGTCGGAGTTCCAGGGCGGTTACTGCTGCATCAGAGCTCACGACCCCAAAACGTCAGTTTATAATACCCTCTTTAGCGTATTCTACCTTACAGTCTCAGTTCAAACGTGGAAGAAGTTTCAACAGCCCAACGACATAAAACGTCTTTTAGGAAAGCAGCCATTGTGCCTATATTGCTAACCAGGGTCTGATCCCAATCACTCGAAAATGCACTGACGCTTTTCAGGGTTTGGGCACTGCACTCCCCAGCGAATACTTCTGTGCCACCTACCTGTGGGCAATCTTAAAGATAATCCAAAGAAGTCTCTGATAGCGCCCATTACAGCAACTCCGAAGTGCCCCAGCACTGACAGTGAAGCGACCACGCTGAACATAAGGACGGACGAGTCTTCAATGTACGTACGCGGTTACCGGAATCAGCAGCTAAATCCCGATTTAGTCAAAGTAATCCGGCGCACTCTCTTTTCACTTAAAAGAGTATGTTGTGGAACAGGATTCTCACTGTTATTGTCCTATCCTGTTTAATTCCGTATCAACTTATTATAGTCAGTCCGCTCTGACCGGTTTTCAAAACCAGCAATGCTGATTACTGGGTGTTAGAACTGGATTACTTAATTATCTCAGCTCACTCCCTTATTAAGACGAAACAACTCGAAGCAGCGTGGTTTCCTCGCTTTGAACGAAATTTCCCTAACGTCACACAGGAACCACCACCCATGCCCCTAAACTGCATCTATGAGTTTCATGCACACACACTGATATCCTTAGTCTACAATGAATGAAAAGACCGCAAAATATGAGTATAAACACTGAGAAAAATATGAGTCTCATCCGCTATCCAATGACATTAGTGTTTATCATTAACCTCAACTCCACCTTTTGATATTATAAAAAAGCCTTCTATCTACAATGTTAAAGAATAGCGGTAATGCTGTCTTGGAATTTTATGAATATACCTACGTCAGGCACTTACTAGTGTGTAGGAAATTTTTACGTTTGGCAAGAACAAAGTGTGTGCGCTATTGTCATTTCCAACTGAATTCCTTGCTAGCCGCTTCAGAGGACAGGTAAAAGTCAACCACCTTGCCTGGATTCACACTGAGGTAGGGCCAGGTAGTGACTGAAGATTTCTTTGCTGAAAGGCCAACTTGCTTAATTCCGGTTTCATTAATAAAACTCAAATTTCACCACTATGCACTACTGACAGTACATTGACAACTAGAACCGCAAGACATATCCTAACTCACCAAATGTTTCAATAGCTAATCCGTTGTATACATGACTGGCACAGCAGAACTATAAAACCACGGTTCCAATCAGTAGCTGTATTCGTATGTACAGTACAATTTATTAAAATTAATCCATGCAAAACAAAAATTGGCAAAAAGGGGCCAAGCACATGACTGCATGCACGGATTTAATGGCCTCCACAAGATCCTGTGATGGATAGCGTTTACTCCCTGATCCCCACTTTGAAAGCAGTTACTTTTATGAAAGGTTTATGACATTTTAAAAACCAAATCTTGAAAATCGATGTAGATTAATTAGAGCCAGTCCTACAAGATAATTTGTAAAACGTGTGACTTCAAACTATTAACGACAGTGCGACAATTTCAAGAAACCACGTGACTATACTTCAATGCATGACAGGGATTCCCGGACCTTTATATTGTTAGGTCATTAAACGCCATTAATTTTGAAATTAATTAATTAGTTTTTGAAATCTTCCAAGTTATTAGAACTGGGTTTAGACCATAAAAATTGCACTTGGAAGTAAATTGCAAAATTGTCTCTGCAGTCCAAAAACAGAAAAAAATTCAGTGAACTCTCTGGCATCAAATATTTCAAGATGAATAGTGTTCAGAGACAGGTTGAAATTTGGTATTCTGGTTTAACATCCAGGAGGACTATTTTATTTCTCTCTTTGGTAAATCTAATTTTTAGAAGAACATGCACAGCTGTCTGAAATCTTCAATTATTAATAACCATAGTAACCAACTGCAAACACCACACATATAAATAAACCTAACAGGTCAGGTTTCACGGCTAACAAGGTATAGAGCTGGATGAACACAGCAGCCAAGCAGCATCACAGGAGCGGGAAGGCTGATGTTTCGGGCCCAAAACGTCAGCCTTCCTGCTCCTCTGATGCTGCTTGGCCTGCTTTGTTCATCCAGCTCTACACCTTGTTATCTCAGATTCTCCAGCATCTGCAGTTCCTACTATCTCAGGTCAGGTTTCACTCTGAAAATTGATTTATCCAGTACTAGCAGAAGCTTGGACAAAACTACACCACTAAAAAAAAAAATCAGTAAATGATAATGACTTGGCAATGTTAAAATACAGCTGATGTGCACATTCTCAGTTGTTTATTGCACCTATCCAAATTTTAGTTCTTTGAACTCGTTATGTTTCATTTACTCTTGAAAAAGGGAAGATTAACCACTCCTCTGAATAATAATTCTATTAGTATGATAGCTCTATTAGTGAACATTCCAAAACAGGATTAAACAGAATACACCATTGTATCAGACTTGAAATGTTCATGTGAACTGGTTTGTGAAAATCTACCTGACCACACCAGAAGATACCTCAAATTTTCCTCGGCATGAAATATGGATTCCAAACTCCATTCTTTACACGAATAAATGCAAAAAAATGGAATGGTAAACAACCCTCAGAAATAGAGAATTTAGCAATGCTTGGAGATTACTTAAAGTGCTGTTTCAATACTGCCGAGAAGCAAAATGCTCCCACTCCCTGGCCAGTGATCTTAATGAACTGCTGCAGGTCTGGTTGATGACAACTGAAATGTGGGGGGCTGGGGGGCACCCCACGGTGCTCAACTTGGGGTGGAGGGTGGAGAAGGTGGATTTAGAACTATAGAAGCTTGACAAAGTCAAATAGTTGTTGACTTTCAAGTTTCAACAAAAGCACCGATTTACTTCAATGTAAATCAAGAAACTTACGCATACAACATTCAGTTGTGTTTTCTGGCCTTTTATTCGTTCTCATTAAAAGATCAAGTTAACTCCATTTTCAACACATTGAGGTTTTCACGATTTAGTATGCAACTTTCATACCCATCTTATATCTACCATTTTGCGTTTGTTTATGCAATGGTACCCATCATTAGCAGTACCTCAAACCACAGAATGCTGGAGAAACTCAGTTTTAGCAGCATATGTGAAGAGAAAGTTAAACAAATGTCAACATCAAGTCCAGTGACCCTTCATCAAAACATAAGCCACTATACTCGACTTGAAACATCAACCGTTCCTCTTTCTACAGGTGCTGCCAGGACCACAGTTTCTCCAGCATTGTGTTTCAGATTGCCAACATCCACAGTAATTTGCTTTACTATTTTGTACTCAAGCTAAATAAGGAGTTCCATATCCTCCAATCAAATGTATTTGGAAATTGCCCTGACATTATGCCATATGTAAATAATGAGATTATAAAACAAAACTCTCAAAAAGTCAGACAGGTTGACATGAGTAAGATAGAGGAATTTTATTTTTCAGGTCCAGTAAACCAATGAAGAAACTTCTTAGGCGACAAGTGCTGAAGCTGTGGAGGATTCACTGTGGAGAAAAAAGTAGTGCATAATTAGCCTACTGTATGGACAACAAAACTGATCTGAGAGGTGCAAAGTTCTCTCCTTATTTATCAATACCTAGAATTGCTAAACATTTACAGCATCACAGCTGCACAAATTTGAGAAAGAACTACCCAGTTCAATCCAGTTTCAAATCTTATTGAATCAAGTGCATCACCAAATTTAAAAAAAGATACAATGAGAATTTCTGCCTCTACTATACCTTCAGCCAGCAAGTTAAAACACCCACCGACCTCCAAGTTGGGGTTCCCTTAACTCACCTCTTATTTTAAGAATGCCACTTGGCATATTAACTTTTCAATGGAAAATATCTTGTCCTATCCACTATATTTTCCACTAGCAGCAAAATACCTGAGCGCCCAACTGTATGACTTATCTAGAGTCAAGAAAGTATACCAATGCCTCTACTCCTTCAGAAGGCTAAGGAAATTCACATGTTAACAATGACTCTTACCAACTTTTATAAAATGCTTTCTACGGTGCATCACAGCTTGGTACACCAACTACTTTGCCCCAGACCGCAAGAAATTACAAGGAGTTGTGAACACAGCCTTGTCCAACATGAAAACCAGCCTTCCTTCCAATGCCTCCACCTACACTTCCCACTGCCTCAGGAAAGGAGCCAACATAATCAAAGCCCCCTCCCTCACTGGTTGTGCTCTCTTCCTTCGGGCAGAAAAACACATACCAACAGATTTAAGTCATACTACGAACAGGCCTCTCATATTAGAGTTGATCTTTCTCCGTAGCTGTAACATTATATTCTTCATTCAGTTCTATTACCCTGAAGTACTTATAGAAGGTACGATTTGTCTGGTTAGCGTACAATACATTACTTTTCACTGTATCTCAGTACATGTGACAGTAAGTCAAACCAAAATCAAATCTATCCACACTCTGCAATTTGACATCCCGCAATTAAGTTTCTGCCACAGTACCTCCAATCTAACAATGCCAGTCCATCTAAACATTCCTCAGCTAAAATATTTCAGCCTCAACATTTTTGTAAAATTCTGACACCAGCTCCAATCTTTTGACATATTCCTGCAATCTACAGATGTCTTCCCCAAAGAAACAACATTTTCATGAATGCTTCTCAGTCATGCACCCGAGCAGAGTTAAAAACATTCGCGTCTAGTGAATGCATAGGGATTGAGAGAGGGCATGGTAAACTTCACTAAAAGTAGCTTTCCAAACTCAAATACCCATTAACCAAAACCCTTGCTTCCTGGCACTGAAAAAAAGACCTCAGTAAAATATAACCGCTGTATCAAATACACTAACCTGACTGATTCTTCTCATTGCTAGGAATTCAACGTACTTTATCAAGCAACTTTTTCTTTAATTCATCCTGACTGTATGTGACTAACCTGTACACTTCCAACGGTCTAGGCCCGAAACGTCAGCCTTTCTGCTCCTCTGATGCTGCTTGGCCTGCTGTGTTCATCCAGCTCTACACCCTGTTATCTTAAAACTCGACCTGTTCCAATATACTTTCTGTACCAGAAATGACCCCCTCCTTTCTTTCAGAGAATAATGATTTTGGCAGTCTTTTGGAACCAGGTTGGTAGCCTGTGATTGATGGCTATAGGTGCCATTATTTTTTTCTATTAGCAGTTTAGGATACATCACCTGGACTCGGATTTAAATCAACATTTAAAAGGATGCCAAAATTTTAATTGTTACCCTTTCAATACATTAATCCTAATATTTCACATGCCTCAAACTAGTGTCAATCCACTCCTGCAAAAAAGAAAAAGATGCAAAATATTCATCTCATCAAACAAATCTTTTTGGTTCCTAATTGGCCATTCCTTCCTCTTAGACTTTACTTATAAAACACTGGAGTTTTCACTGTTTTACTCATGCCATCACAGTGCTTTACTAAAAACTTTTTCTTTTTCCACTTTTTATACACTGCTGGGCTTTTTGCAGTAGTGATCTCTGGGTATTTTGAGAAGTTTGCACGTTTTGCTTCATCTGATTGTGTAGCTCACTCAGACATCCAAGGAAGAGTTTGCCAACATTAAGAGCAAATCCCTTTCTGGAAGAAACTGCGAATGGTTGGAGAAATCAGTCATCATTGTGAGCCAACGATATAGCTAGCTTGAAATAAAACTTATGATATAATGTGCTCAAAGCAAATTTGAGCAGTATAATTTTATAAAATAGGTATTAAACACTCACTATTTCCAGTTTGGTGGAAGTACCCTCTTGGACTTGTAATAACGAGCCAACCTGTGAATCCTGCTTTCAATAAGGATCAAACGAAATTTGGCATCCTTATCCTGCATTGAGAATACCATATTGTTCAAACTGATCGTTAGATATTAACTGACGCTGTTTAAAAGGCAATCCCTTAAACTATTACTTCACCATAACTACATTAAACTGACAAGTTGAAAATAGCTGAATAGCTCACTCAGACATCCAAGGAAGGACTGACCAACATTAGGGAAAAAGCCCCTTCTGGAGGAAACTGCGAATGGTGGATAAACATTCATCATTGTGAGCTAAATACATGCAACAACAGTTGTGAAAATTGGCTTGCAACCTTAAGACAACATTCAGAATTAAACAAAAATATAAAATGCAAGCAACACGATGTTTTAGACTACAAACCTTAAATCTGCATCTTGGTTTAATATTAAATCATTTTCTATAATACAGAGTAAGCCCTCAGCTGCTGTCTCAAGTCCTTTCATATGCAAATTCAACTCCTAACAAGACCTGACATTTTTATCTACTTTCCCCATTTACTATCTCTCATGGGTAGGGCCAGAGGAGTTATAGCAGTTTTGCCGAGATAACCACCACAGTGTTGGCCATTATTACTCCACTGAAATGGATAACAACTTCTGGAAACCACATGTGCAGGCAGATTAACCACTGGAAAAGGACTGAAATACTGGCAGAGGATGGGCTGTTGAGGCAAACCTCACACACAACTGCAATTAACGGTACTAAACTGAACTGATGAAAACTTCCACAGCACACCAATCTTCCTGTTTAAAGCCATGAGCATTCTTGAATGAAGCCCAACAGCTTTCAATAGCACTAACCTTCCTGTTCCTCTCCAAATGTTTGCGGACAGCCACAGCAGTCTTGATCAAGTGGTACAAATCCTCTGGAAGGTCTGGAGCAAGCCCCTTTGACTTCAGGATCCTGAGAATCTTGTTCCCAGTAACAAAACGCACCTGGGCAACACCATGCGAATCTCTAAGGATCACACCTAAAAGGCAGGTTTAAAAGCTTTTCTTTAGACATCTAATTTAACTGGCCAAATCAAATGACAATTCTATGTACTAGTGTGCTTTAGAACAACAACTTAAATACATCTATTCTCAGTGAAACAGCCAGTTACTTGAAAATGCTCACTCAGACATCCAAGGAAGGTCAAACCAACATGTGGCCTAATCCTTTCTGGGGGAAACTGCGAATGATTGGAAACAGTCATCATTGTGAGCAAATCACCTAATAGTACAACTGTCCCACTAGGTCACAGCAAATAAAATACAGTAAAATGTATGACAATATTTAACCAAACAAGATCAAGGGGCAGAAAGCAGAAAAGGTCACTAACTCTTGAAAATGCTAATTAAGCATGCTTTAAGCAAAATAACTTTCAATTCTCAATTAAACAACAAACTGATAATTTTCAACTTAAAGTTAATATTGGCAGCTGAGCTGATTATGTCATATTGCATTAGCCAATAAAAGAAAGCACACACTTTTCAGAATTCCTACAACAGGAAGCCATAGGTTTATAAGTTTAATCCATCAGGATCACAGCCATTTAGTACAGGGAAGTTTGAACGCTCTGTCCCATCTGGAAACACTATTTCTGCTGCTCTTTAGACATTAACTGGAAAAATATTAAAAAGCACAATCAGCACTCCAGCAGATGAGCTATTACAATGCAAAAAAATTGCTTTGAGGGGCTTGCCACTTTCTGGTTGTTAATAACCTGCAAATGTTTGTTTATAGTGCTTATCCATGCCCCAAAAGTTGCTATTAAAATATATCCACCATTTCATAAGGCATATTTCCCCAATTCTAAGTACCGACAGCTGAGTGCCAGACCCCTGATCCAGTGAAAGCTTTCTCTGGATGTACACGTATCAACCTTCCTCTTAACACTAATCACTTACCTTCACCGTATCTGCTGCAAATACAACCCAGCTCATGTATCTCAGAATCTTGAAAGCTTGGCACCGTTGCGGTAGTGTTTTCTGCATATTCTTAATGACAGTGACATTTACTCAAGTGTGGTGCAGAATTTTACACTTTAGCAGCTAAGGGAAAACCACTGATTTACTCAAATTAGCATAACTTTCTTGTTTTCCTCTCATTTCCATTCAGAATGTCAACGATCCTCTATAGTGAAGTAGTACTCGGGGCATCACACTACCTTAAAAAAAAAGCCTGCCCATGTTTAAAAAAAGCAATTCAGACCAACAACCCTTCAGACTTGAAGCGGAACTCTCCACAAATGCTGCCTGAATATTTCCTCTGTACTGCTTTTATTTCAAGTTTCCAGTACCTTCAATATTTTCCTTGTGTTAGCAATATGTCAGCTTCTGCACTGAAAATTTTATGCAACTAAATTGTATACTCACCGATCTGAGATGGGGTCAAGCCCTTCTTTGCTAGCTTGTAAATTTGTTCTTTTACATCATCTGATGTTAGTTTGAGCCACTAGAAGAGGGACAAAATAGAAATGTCACAACATTAATAAAGCTAAGATCTTCCTGTTGAATCTATTAAGTTTCAGATACAAACTGGACAAAAGTCACTCAAGAGCACTAGTACTCAATAATACGAAACTTTGTGAAAGGGCTGCAAATAATTACAAACAATCACATTCAAGTATTGAAGGGATCAGTAATTGCCTGGCTGTAGACACCGGTCATCCCTGATCAAAAAATGGTCAGAACAGCAAACAGACTGGTTAATATTCCAAGATGATATGGCTGATTTTGGACTAAACTCCATTTTTCACACCCACTCCTGAATCTGCTAAGGCCCCAGACCAGTGCTCCCTCGCCTTACATTCAACCATGGTACACCCACAATCCCCTGGCATTGTGGATTCTTCTTGCACCCTTTTACTTGCCTTGTATGAGCACATAAGTACCTCTGAACATCACACTGGAGCAAGTTCCTGCAGATGCTGGAATCTATACTGAACACAACAAATACTGGATATCACAACAGATCATACCGCACTCGTGTCGAGAGAACAAGCTAACGTTGAGCCTTGATTCAAAACGTTAGCTTACTCTCCCCATGGATTTTATCTGAACATAGAGTTCTACAAGCTTCCCATCTTGAAAAATAGCTCCTCTTCTGACCAAAGTGAATAATTTTACCCTTCCCCACATTATAACCAAGTCACTTTGTTTCCCAATAAGGCAATCTGGGTACAGCTTTTTGCAGACTGCATCCACCTGAACTCACTCAATCCAATCCATCTTCATATCATGAGAAAAGCAAGCTTCATTATCACTGTTCCTTCACACAAAAGTTGTAAACATACTGTAAATAGCTAAGGCCACAGCACAAATTCCTGGAGCACTCCAGTTACAGTCTGCCCATTTAAAAGTGCCTCATTTCACCCAACCAGTTGTCCGTTAATAACCTTCTGTCTATGCTGACACCAGAACTTGATGAAAGTTTAACGCGTGCATTCACTTTTTAGCTGAGACCTTATTAATTGCTTTTTGAAAAGCAAAATATGCAATATATAGGATTCTTTGTAATCCAACTAGTAACACCCTCGAAAACGTGTCAGCCAGGATTTTTTGATATAATCGCATCTAACAATTACTTGAGAAAAATCGATTGACTTACAGTGGGCACACTGCGCCTGTAAGGTAAAGCTGACTGGGACAAGCCCTTGCTGCAAATAAAAAGGAGATAATAAACATGCAGATCCATCTCTAACGACAATCAAAGTTTCAGTCTCTCCTTTATTCATTTTTAACACACAAATGGAAAATGCGGCAAGTTACGTTGTGTCTGACCGGCTGAATACTTTTACATGATCTGCTTGTCTGCATCATCATCATCATCATCATCATCCTCCAATCTATTTTGGATCAATAATGAATCTGAAGCACTAAGCATAAAAACCGAAAAGCTATGCTATCAGCATCACGTTCTCCGGCCCCCGCCAACCCTACAGGCCAGGAATCACACGCTGTAACCCAGGAATGAATTCAGTCGATGGGGCTGCGTGTTGTAGAGACACAGGCCGCGGATAAAACACTTGTACAAAGGAAAAACAGTGCGGATGTCGGAAAGCTTTCTGGTCGAAACTGGCCAGGTTAAGGCCCGAGGCCGGGCGTCAGGCCTACGTGGCTCCTCGTGGGGCTGCTCAAGGAGCTCCGCCGCCATCCGCCCGCCCGAAAAGCCGCAACTCCCACCCGCAGCAGGCCCCCTTAAACTTCCCTCCGTGAGCAGCTACAAAATGAGCTGCAACACGCCAAGAACCCGCTGAATTAAGGCGCCCTTGGCCTCGGCCTCCACCTCCGCCCAGGCCCTTACCCAGGAGCGTGCATTCGACCCATGGCGGCGACGGAAAAGAAAGAGAAAGAGTGCTCTGCGCCTGCGCCTCTTCTGGCGCCTGGCCCCGCCCATGTTAGTAATGCGCCTGTGCAGCCCCACCCCTCCATGTTCGGGGCTGGCTGGTGCGCGTGGACCCTGGAGCGCGCTCCCTCAGCGGCGGCGCGCGTCTCATCCCGTTCATGGGAGGCTGAGGCTGCGGGAGGTCGGGGGTTCGGGACTTACCTGGGGCTATACCAATCAAGGATCCACATCAAGTTCAGAATCTGTAGGTAAGTTCAGCTCCGCGGAGCACCTAGGGCCACCAGGTGGGGCTTAAAAGGGTGTATCGATTCAAGGTGCGAAAGGAAACAGATCAAAATCACCATATTGATCTGTACGGGGGATATGTTTGTGCTTATGAATGTGTGTTGGGACGCCGCCTTCTTTTGTGTTGAAGTGCATATACAGTGACGCTAGAAAGGCCGGCTACTGGAAATGCAAAAGACAGTCAATAATCTGAAACGCTAACTCTAGCCAACCACGATCATAGCCAAGCATTTTGAACTTTTCCTTCGGACTTAGAGAATGCAGAGTACTTTTTTTTTCTTTTTGCTTTGTAGTTAGCCATGGTAATTACAAAACTAACTTTGTTTCCACGTCCCTGTTCCTTCAACCACAGACTCCATATTTCCGCATTTCACATCCTTAACTATAAACACAAACTTATATTTTCACGACCCTGCTTATAAACTGCGGCGTTGATTATTCTCTATTATGATAACGTTACATCATTGTATTTGCAAACGAAACATTCCATCGTAATGCAATTACATGTCGCAAAAATACGAATTGTACATTTTTTTAATCATTGCCACTGCTCTCTGCTGGCCATTATTTAACATTTGTTGTTACAATTCCATTCATACCAATTATCGCTCGAAAATAGTGCTGACGTCATTTCAT